CTTACATTATTATGAGTTAGGTTCCTCTCAAAATTTGCCAGGTTTACGCTCACGTTGAACGAATGGCCCCAGAGCTAGTCAACAAACTGGACCATAGTGTGAGCTCTTCAGCACTGATTGCAGAGGTGGTGGGATTGAAAGGACCTCAAAACCGGTGTAGCTCTGGGGCAGCAAGGGTCGCATTTGGATTCGTCTGAAGAACTGCCAATGGCTGTATTTTTTCCCCGCCCATAGTTGAAGTCCAGATTCCGCGTTAGCGTACGATGCATAGGGCATGGTGAAGGAAGCATTCGAATGGATAATCTCTCACTCTCGCAATGAGATTATCTATGAACCAATCCTTACCCTTTTAAATGGGCTGGAGTTCTGCCACTGTGACGCTCATAGCAGGAAGGTCTAAGTTTATAACAATAGTAAGTTTGAAAAGTTTCATTACCGCTCAAAGGCTATGCTAACAACTACCATAGCAGTCGGAGAAGTTTCCTGTTCGTTGGTTCAGCCCATCAGAACTGGGAGCGTGCATCGTTGGCAAGACCTCTTCCGATTTTGTCAAGAGTTGTGTAGCATTGTGTCAACAAGCTGTGTTAAGCCTTTTGGAATTTGCTTGTAACTCCCGTCACTATAATATAGCCTAAATAAAATTACCCCACGCGCACAGATTTGTAACTTATAAAAAAACTTATAAAATAGTTTGAGCTACAGTCTTGCGAACGCGGCAGCCAAAAGCGAACGACTCTCGGAATATATCGCGCCCTTTTCGTCCAGTAGAACGAATTCTTCGCTGTCAGTAACTCTTCCGCATCATATAGCTGCCCCTAAAATAGAAGCTCAGCTATACGAAAGCATGGGCAACTGATCACCACGAATTTCCTACATACCCCGTGTGACCCAATTATAATGTCGCTCTCTGGCTACCTTTGCAGCTGTTTCAAAAACTCGACGAATCTTATTTCTTCCGTGCTCTATTGGGAGATTATATGTTCGACCATTGCTCTGCGTTCGGGAGCGCTGAGATTGGCCGCAGTAAATCTATTAGTGGTGTCTAAGTCGAGGCCGATCATAGCGAACGAATCGTATGCTTCGATCCTCGACAGGATTCCAGCATTTCGACTGATGGGGGAGATGTCTTCCACTGATGTTTCGATCAACTCATTTCCTCTTCGGAGAACAAGTCTGCGAGCTGAAGCTCTGGCACTGCTCCAGGCCGACACCGATGAGGATTACGGGTGTTATGGATATTTGAAAATTGGTTTTATGATCGTGTACGGAGGAATGGCTCTTATAGCTGTACCCATAGCAAAGCTCACGGTCATGGGTGAAGATGTAAACAATTAGTCGCTACCCTGCAATTCTTACTTACTTGTACAGGGTCGGAGTTCATAGCCGCGAAGAGTAGTGTGTAAAGTGAGTGACTTCACTTGTTTCAACATTCCATGATCCCGCACGTGATTTTAGCAAGTTTGGAGCTTTCCGTGATATATTAGGGTGTCCGGAAAGTTTTGAGAAAATTCGGTCATTTTATTCAACACATATTAACAACAAGAAAAGCGAAAAATCAGTAATCAAGATAGTGGCCCTTCTTAGCCACGACGTCTCTCCACCGTTTGGGCAGGGCATCGATACCTTCCAGAAGGAAGCAGGCCGGGACGCAATCCATTCATCGACCATACGCTTGACATCCTGATGGTTGTTGAACATCTTACCCGTAGCGTAAGCCTGGAGACTCCTGAAAGCATGGTAGTCACAAGGGCTAAGGTCAGGTGAATACGGAGGATGGGGCAGCCATTCGATTCCTAAATTCTCCAGCTCGTCCCTTGTCGCCTTCGCATGATGTGGTCGGGCGTTGTCCATGACGATGTGAAACTTGCCCCGGTATTGATGGGAAACTGGAGCTCGGGACACCAGCTCTCGTAGTTGCTCACAGAATATCGATGATGTTACAGTAGTACCCTCATGAAGAATCTCATAGTAAATGCAGCCGGTGGAGCAGAAGAAAAACGAGAGCAAGTCCTTCTTGGCGTGGCAGCCTCGCTTTGGAACGGGCTCCGGCTTTTGATCCGACGGCAGCCACTCCAGTTTCCTATCCGGGTTTTCGTACGAGATCCACTTTTCATCCTGAGCAATTATGAAGCTCGCCCAAGTCGTCGTTCTTTCTCGATCGAGGAGCTTCTGACACACATCGACCCTCACCGCACGCTCCCTTGCGGTAAGAGACCGAGGAATGATTCCGGGCTAAGCCCCGCGGAAGCCGTT